TTCGAGCATTCTGGTTGTAGAGAGAGCAGACTCTTCAGCTTCCTACGTCAAGCAGCCGAGCCAATACGCAGGGAGCATTGGAGTTCCGCCTGAAGAAGCTCTGACAGGTGAGGGTCTGGAGCTTCGCGGACTCCCAGCAGCCAGCAATCCGAGCAAGAGACAATAGGAAGAACAGGAAGTAAGTAAACGAGCAATCGACCAGATCGAACACGAAAGTGAGAAGCCTTGTTGCTTTTCCTCTCCTCCATGCCATGATTTCATCCCACCCCACAGTGTCCACCAGCCAACCTTCGGATCTTCTCCCGTAGCTGGACGTTCGGAAGGACGGGCCAGAGGACGCGTAAGGCCAGAGGTGACCCTTGCCAGCACTTTCTTCCTCCTAGGCACATACAGATGGGGAGATAAAATACAAGTAGAGGGACTCATTGATCGACAATCACGTCCGAATACAAGCGCCCCGATCAAGGACGAGGAGGAGGACATGCAAGGGGGGGAGAGCGGGCTTGTGGAGAGTTCGAGAGGAGGAGGAGGAGGAGGAGGAGGAGGAGTCCCTAGTCCTCACGACCCTCTCTCATCATCCTCTCAAGGGATTCGAGCAGCTGAGGATCGATCTGAGGCAAGGTCAGTCGTTGCCCTCCAGCTTTCAGCGACATCTTCACCTCCGCTGGTTTGTCATCCATCGGCACGTCCAGGCCTGCGTCCTTCCTGCCAGGCCGTTATGTTGATCAAGCTCACTCCCGAGCCCTCACGCGTTCACGCTCCCTTGTCTCTCTCTTCGCTTGCCCCTACTTGCCACAAATTCCTTGCAGATGTCTAGTAAAGTTTTCTCCGATGGTTTGGTTCGGAACTTGGAAGCGTCATGAGCAGCAAGAGACAGCAGCTCTCACCCGCTTAAGGGTCGTGTAGCTCGCGTCCTCGGGCTCAAAGGCCATGAAGGCCCACTACAGCCGGAAGAAGAGGGAGAGACAGGAGAAGCGGGGCCTCAGGTCAGCACCAGCAGAGGAAGGAAGAGCAAGGATCTCACGTCTGAAGGCGTCTGTCGTAAGAGGAGAAGCTTAGCCACCATGGAGGCTGCTGGTCTTGAGGTCACGGCCCGCTCTCTTTCATAAAAAGCCCTCTCCTGCAACGCGAAGGGCTGCAAACGGTCACGTCGAGGAGGATCGAAGACGAAGGAGATAGATGAGTCACTTGAAGGTAGTAGGCGGTGTGCATGGTGAACATCTCGTAGGGCAGGGTCCCGACAGACCTCCCTGCTCTTCGCCATCAGAGGTGAAGCGAAGGAGAGAAGCAACCGTCTGGTCCGAGGGCGTCAAGGTACTGGTTCAGCACCAGCACCACAGAGGTCTCGCTATTCTGCAGGATCTTTCGCACCTGGGAAGTCACTTTGGCCTGCAGTCAGTCAGTCAGCAAAAGAGAAGGCAGGAGGAGCCTCACCCCTCCGAAGTTACTGGGAGCGATCAGCACGACCGCTCCTCTCTGATCGGCCTGCTGCTCCAAGAGGCCTGAGCTACTAATCGTCTCATAGACCATCTGTGCTTCCCCAAGGAGACTGGAGTTGCTGGAGAAGTGTCAGTGACCCAGCACGGCAGCAGTTGGACTTTCCTGCTCTCGATGAATCGAAGAGCCTTCTCCTTGCTCTCTTCGCTCTGGAAAATCACCCGAATCTCCTGCGACACCAGAGCTCCGACCTCTTCCAGCAGCTGCACGCACAGTGCGTGAAACGCGTCCTCATCGTATCCTGCTGCAAGTCACTGGGGTTGCTCGTCAGGCTGCCGCAACACCTCGACTCAGCATATCAAAGTCTGGCGTCAGGACGTCTGCTCGTATCCTCCGCTGCCCCGAGAGAATCGCACTGCGAGCAGCTGACCGGCATTGCTGACATGCCTGCTCACGCGTCATGCTCCTGCCGTGTCGCCGGGTGTCCAACCTCATCGATGCTCTCAGGCACCCTTGCGGCCTCTGAACCTTGACTGTCTGGCAGGCATGCCCCCCAACACTGTCTAGGTCGCTGAGGTCTGGAAGCCCGACAAATGCGGGGAGAGCATCGAGGCAGTGAATGTTTCGATAGCTTGACAAGCGAAGGAGATGAAAATCCTCCTGAGGCACTTGAAGTCATAAAGATAAGAATCAATTCGCTCCCACCCCTCCCTGCATCTTTTGTCCCGATCCTCGCCCTAACTAAGTCTTATCTCTTACTTCTCCTCCTCCATGTGCCTTTCCTCTCCCAGCTCGCATATCTCTTTCTCTCACTATTTCTGCGTCTGTAAAGAGCCAGACAGCTTAGCCTGGTCTCTCACACTTCTTCCCTGTCCGTGTGTAAATCTTCAAGTCTCGAAGTTCCTCGCCATTGCGTCACGTCCATCTCTCCCTCTTACCAGCTGTCGCGACAGCTCCCAACAGCACCACCAGCTTCAGCATCGCCAACGCAACTTTCACTCAACTCTGCACACTCTGCTTCCTCGTAGTGATTTTTAACTTAACAGCGCCACGGAGGCTGCCCCGCCCCGGAGTCCGGGCCCCGGCAGGCGGCCCGGCCCGGCCGCCCGAGTACCGGCGGTACGGTCGCCGCACAGCCGCAGGACGTACTCGCTCGCTCACGTCGCAGGATAGGTTCTTGCAGTCCACCATCTTCGCTAGTCGCTATGCTCAGATGCTCGACTGCTGATACTATATCAGCCTGAGTGTGCCACCGGGTCTTCCGAGCTGAGCATGCCGATCATCTGCGGCTTGAGGATTGGAGGGTACCTGCCGTCGAGAACGAGGATCCCCCACTGTATCGATGACGCTCTGAAGACCAGCTTCGTTCAGCATCGACCGAATCGTACGAGTAAGGTTGTCATGCGCCGTGGGAAGCTTGGAGGATTGGCGTTTGCAGGTCTGGAGATGATGCGCAGCAACGGAGGGATCGAGCCTCGGAGCTCGCGCTGACATCCATCACATTCCGTCGGACACTGGCAGATCGGCATGCCATGGAGATAGCAGTCGAGCATCTGAGCATAGCAGCTTCTCGCTGTGTGCTGTGTGCCAGGAGGTTTAGCTTAGCTTGTTCCTGCTTTGTTTGCTTGAGGCACTTTTTACCTTCTGCCAGTAAATCCATTGTCTTGGCACAATCACACACAAAACACAAGCCCGAAAAGAACCAGCACTGCTGGCACCCAGACGCGGCATCGCCAGCCCAAGCGCGAAGCCGCGCCGACAAGCAGCCGAAGGGTCGGCCGGGCAATCAAGCAACACTGCCGCTTGAAGCAGCAGGAGCATGCAGGAGGAATAAAATCCCTTAGACGCGATACCCGGAGGCAGCCGACTGACCACTGTCAGTCGAGACGTCCGCTGCCGTGTCCAGCCTCCCTCCGTCCGCTGGCCCCAGGCCTTAGACGCGATACCACACCGGAGGCATCCCTTAGACGCGATACCCGGAGGCAGCCGACTGACCACTTGGTCAGTCGGCTGCCTCCGGGTATCGCGTCTAAGGGATGCGAATGGATTTACTGGCAGAAGGTAAAAAGTGCCTCAAGCAAAACAAAGCAGGAACAAGCTAAACCTCCAGGCACACAGCACACAGCGAGAAGCTGCACAATCACACACAAAACACAAGCCCGAAAACAACCAGCACTGCTGGCACCCAGACGCGGCATCGCCAGCCCAAGCGCGAAGCCGCGCAGACAAGCAGCCGAAGGGTCAGGCAATCAAGCAACAAGCAGCAGGAGCATGCAGGAGGAATAAAATCCCTTAGACGCGATACCCGGAGGCA